TGGAGGAGTGCATGGCACAGATGTCAGAGAGCAGTTTCTAAATGGAGAAGTGAATCCTACGTATTCGTTGCTGTTGTTGTTGTTCAAGTGCCGACCAACCTACAGCGCTGAAATTTCGTCCCGATGCTAGTGTCTTTGCATGGGGAAGGAGGAGGGAGGGGAGAACTTGGAGGACTTCTTGTGCAAAATGGATTTACCGCAGCATAGACTATGACTCCCGCCAAATGTGTTTAATTCTTTTTGTGCCTGCGAGGTTGTTAGGTGGAAGTGTTTATTAACGGCCTTTCGACCAGATCGTCGTCCTCGGAGGCCAAGTCCACCGCGGCAGGAGCGGAAGAAGCCGCCCAGTCAGCTGTGCTGTGGTGGATTTGGCTTCCGCCAAAGCTTGATGGAGGTTCGTGATAGGCGGACCGACTTCAAATAAAGTAATCCCATCCTCATTGGGGTGATCGGCCGGGGATCGAATCCTGTTTTGACTCCCGTTGATACCAACCAAGTCTTCTACCCTTCAGCGACGGTAAGTTAATCCAAGGCTCGTCAGAGGGGAGGGGGCGCGGGTGAGGATGTTGTCTTTCAGATCGGCTGGCCATCGCAAGTCGTTGTATAGGCGATTTCGCATACAATAAGCCTCCACCATTCTGACTGGAAATATTAGGTTGGTGCATAAGTTTTTTCCCCTGTTTTGATCCTTCCGTATTTCGTTTGCATGGATGTTGGTATTTCGTCATCACGTGTGCGTGACGTGTACATGATACTCTTTCACACTAGCTATCACTCGCCCACTGCATTTGCAGGCTACAATGCCGCACAATTACCAGTGCAAAACCATGTCACAGTGGTGTCCCAGCCCCCGTCCTTCTGGAACGATGGAACCGACAAGCTGCCTGAGCGTTGGCGTCGAGTAGTGGATGGTGATGGTGCATACCTCTAATCTTCAGGCTGGTTCGCTATTGAGATATTTACAAAAAAGTCGGGGAAAGAACTTATGCAACAACCTAATATATGCAAGCGTCCGTTACCTTGCACATAATAAAATATAAAACGATCGCAACAAAACGGTTTGATATACGGCAAAGACTAAACCATTTAAAAAACTCAATGAGTTAACTCAAGTTTTGCACAAGAAGCCTCTAACCCGAACCGGCGCGAAGATTATTTAGCGTCTTGAACCCTTTTTTGAATACGAACTCGTAGTAGGGCCCCAGATGTGATTGCCGGGAGTCACGATCGTATCTACCCGATTATCACATACGTCATACCAGAAAAGCTTATGAAATGAACATTAAGGTGCAAAAACTATGAGCAGCAGTAGCTTGAGACATAAGTGGGAGACATGAGCCAATAGTGCCATATTGGCCACAGCTTTCACATTTCCCTCTAATTGAATCAATTCGCTATTGCGCGGAGATGAGGAGTGACCCGTCCGTCATTCATTGAGGTCCAACGGCCAGCAATCAAATTGGTCCAACATGCGCCGTTTCGCAACGGCCGTCGGACATAACATTCAACAACAGCTCGCAGTATCAGGGGTTCCTATAAATAACAGAGAGAGATTTGAAAAAAAATCCCGCAAAAGATAAAAAGAGACTGAATAAAGAGATAAGTCGCAAAGTGCTGACCAATCTCTTCCTGGGATGAGCCTAGGCCAGGAACGTCTTACCGTTGTGGAAAAATTTTCAAAAGTAGAGAAAGCCCTCAAACCCCTCAAGGGTTCCCCCACTGGCGCGATCCTTTCCTATCCCCCGTCTGAATTTTCGCCAATTTCCTATCACCTTTCTTCGTCGAGCGAGTGGCCCCACCTCTTCGCTGGAGATGCCCAACCTACGACGTGCCCTGTTTTAGACTGCACAACGCCTGTACGTTGCCGGTGAAGCAGACAAACCGCGAATCGGCAAACTTCGATGGGAACAAAGAACTCACACTATGACTAAAGCGAGGAGGAAGGCGTTCTCTGCTTGTCAAAGGTGTCTACACTCGTTAGTGATGGAAAAAGTTTTTAGCGTTCCTGGGCAGCATTCTCTCGCTACGGTATGTGGCAAGAGAATCGTAATTCGCCGCGCCAGTGGGCGTCGCGTGCGACGTCGCGCCCGCTAATGACGACGATTTCAGGTGGTATTGGTCGAGAATAGACAATGTATGACCAGAAATACACTTAAGTGTCTATCATCCTTGTCTACATGAAAGCCGATGCTCCAGTCGCAAGGATAGTGCAAATTAAGGAAACGTCGCACCCACTGCCGCGCGCGACGAAGCGGCAGTTTACGATTCTCTTGCCCGTCTCCCTCCTCGTTCGACGGGCATGTGAAATCAAGGAAGGTACAGTTGAACATTTACCATCGCATCTTTCTCTCCTGCAGAGATAACAAATTCCATTATGGTAAGGATGTGTTGTAGTAGCAGCTCAATTTCATTCCCAGACGAGTCTGGTGCTGTCAAAGGCCAAAGGGTTGGTGTTTTCCACGCGTGTTATTTATCCGTCTTCCCCTCACAACAGCTCGTCCTTCTTTCCGCTCGACGGTAACTTCTTTTAGAAAAAGTGGGAAATTCTTGGTTATACTAGACCGGAAAAATTCTGAAGAGTGTCGAATTTTGTAAGGTTTTCCCTGATTGGCAGGACATCCCCTGGGTGTTGAATGTTTCCACCAACTGCTCCTTACTACTCATAAACAAGCGTTTCTTGAAAAATCCACTGAACTGGTGTTTGAGATGAGAGATCAGCCGATAAGGTTTTACAGCAGCGAAGCCGAATCGCCCGAAGAACAGTCCTAATGCGTCCGACACACTTTCCATGGCAAAACCCTCAGAGACTATTATCCCATCCAGTAATGTCTCTCTTTTTCTTTTCTATCGTGGAAACGTTGAAGTCGATTATCATCGAGGCGTTCCCTCAGTGAGGGTTTTGCCATGGAAAGGAGCCAAGCTTACAAAAAATTGGCAAAAAAATTAGCCCAGTTTCAACAGTGCATATGTACTTTTTTGCGTCTTGAAGGGAACCGTTTTCAGCATAAATGAAAAAACTTCTTAATTAGTGCGTTTCCCTCGGGCCCCGAATACACAGCCTTTACCAACTGAGAGCGAAGGAGCTGAGCTCATAAAAAATGGAGAAATAAGAACGTTTTTCATAGTGCTTATGTCCTTTTTGCGATAAGAAAGGGAACCTTTCCAACATGAATGGAGAAATTTATTTATAAAAGCGCATAACCCGTGGATTCAGAGCCCACGTCAGTTGGCTTTGGTTTCTGAAAGGTAAGGAAATGGAGAAGCTTCGCTTTTTTTGACAGTTAGTTCTTGGTGATGCTGTAGGCATTTTCAACTTTTTAGCGAGAACGTAGTGGCTCAGCTGAACGCGATGTGACTACACAATTTACTTATTCCTCGCAGATACGAATCCAGTTCCGCATTTCGGCCCTGCTGAGGTAGAAGCTAAGTTGGCGGCTAGAGCCATCGCTATTAGACTCTAGACGCGCACGTGTAAGGTGGACAGGTGCTACTACCTCCTTTCGCTCTAAATAAGTGTAGTAAGTTAGGCGCAACAAGAATCTGAGTTAAGAAATGTGGTATATTCTGATTCCGTAGTTTCATATGCAAATATGATTCAGCAAGTCACGTAAGAGAGCTTCGGTTACCATAAACAAATATTGAAAATATGAAGAGAACGAAAGAAGATTCTAAGAATGAGTAAGAAAAAAAAATTTTGAGCTTTGATTTCACACAGCTGTTCAGTTATAGTCATGATCCCTGAAAACGATAGGGCAAGTGACGGGACGTGACAGGAAGTGCTGCCGAGGCGCACCTTCCATCAATTATACCATCCCGAGTCCGCAACATTTGCCTGGAAGGAATATTCTGGGTGCGATCCAACACACGCTGCCTATATTTTGCATGGATCATGACCATGAATCTGATCCCACAGAAACTTATTATCTGTGCGTGTAAACTGTTTGAGCTGTGAATCGTCTAAATAGCAGATAGACCCGTTAAGGAATGATGTACAAACAATAAAAAACCTGGCCAGAACAACGAAATGGGCTGAACCAGTCTAAAAAGATGGCACATATGGAAACCTCTAAGAACTACCACTTCATTATGTACATACACTATCTGATGAGGTTCTGATTTGATTTATTCCTTTGACTGATAAGTTCGGATGGGCACAAAAATCTTGTGGGGTACTTGAAGGACTCATTGCGCAAAACTAGAATTACCCTAATAAAAATCAGGTTTCTGTACTTGAAGCTGAATCATCCAGCCAGAAACTCTTTCTAATTAGACTTTAACGGGGCCAGTAATGTCGACCGGGGAGGGGAGGGGGGGGGGGGCGAGCTGTGAACTCTTGTGGATCTGGGACGAAGGTTCTAGCCATCGTTAAAACCTGCCAACAGTCCGAGAAGAAGAGGTTGTTCTAGATAGCGTCGACAAGCGATAGAACTAAAGCAAAGCCGCCCTTATAATTGCATACATTATTGAGATCTATTATAATCCTATACACACGCGGCGGGCTGTGCCTCCAGAAGCGCATCCAACAGATCGTCCTGGGCCGCAGGATCCAACGGCCGCATTTGTTCATTGACTTTAGCAACAGAGTCGTGGAAGGATGAGAGCCGAGCGTGTAGTGTCTGCCGCCATCGATTACCTGGACTTTTGAATTTACGAGAGGATATTCATTATTTTCTTATTATGCTTGACAAGAATGCGAACGAAGAGTTGCCGAGCGAACAGATTGCTCATGTGATCGTTAACACGCCTTCCAATGTCTACTATTCGTTGCCCACCCTAAAAATTCGCAAATGTCTGAAGAGTGAAAAAGGCAGACAATTATTAATTTCTCAGTGAGATCCTCACATACCTTCCCCAAAACGAATTTCGCTATTCGTTCCTTATCGCAGTTAATATCCACGACGATTTGAAGAACCTAGAAAAAGTTATTACGACAGAAATGCGACCATGATTGTTCGTAAAAGCCTGTACCTCTCCATCTTCATTCCATTCATTGATCTTTGGTTGCAAAATGTACGCCACGTTCCCGGGCAAAGTATCGAGCAAAGCAGCACGGACCGCCTCCACACACAATTGCTGAGGGCTCTGAAGAGCTTTAGGAAATACTATATGTAAGGTACAGGTGAGACCTTGAGAGGATCTCTGACAAAATCGAGAAAAAGTTGTTAGCACTAATGAAGGGCTGCAAATTACCACACCCAGAGCTTTTCGAAGCGCACGCTTGCCCTCCAAAAAGCAAAGGGAATAAAGAACTGTTTCAGTTGCAAGCGGTGATTTTGAAAATAATCACTCAAGTCATGAAGAGCAATGCACCATACCTTCAGGCAGCTAAGGAGTCTTGCCTGGGTGCGGGGTGCAAGATCCAAGTTAAGAAAGAGCGGTGAAAGCGGCACTGCAAGTGGCGTCGCCTGCGCGGCATCAGCACCATGACTCGACTTATCAGACGCGAATGTGCGCGTGTCGCCGTAACTGGGAATTCTCGCTCCACACCAAGAAGGCGTTGATCACCACGCAAAACTGATAAACAACAGGGCTCGTATGCTATACTTCTCCTCGAGTGGAATTTACCTCGGAGTAACGTCTTCCAGGGAGGCCACTTGCCCTACTCTCGGCAATTCCAAGAAGAGCAAAAACTGACGACCGGAAGATATCTTCCCAACACTTGTCGCTGGGGAAGTGATTTCCTGATTTTTTGGGCGTGGCCTTTCTTCCAGAGTCATCGGGTCAGTATGGCGTACGGGAAGGGAGCCTTCCCCTCGTGGGGAAGTAAGGGTAACAACCTCAGCAGTGAAAAGCATGCTGAATTATTGCTTACATTAGTGACAAAAGGCTCCAGCGGTTAGAAAGGAGAAGTTCTGCTCACCTTAGTGGTTATCGTCATCTTGTCCAGACGCCATCGCTTCTCTGACGCCAAGTCTTTCAAATGCCTTCGTAGCGGGTCAATTCCTTCACCAGTCAGCGAGGATACTGTAACAGGAACACTCGGAGCTAACAGATAAGTTACAATTCTGGAGACCATACCATAGAAAACGGCATCGAAATTGCTCAGATATGTCCACTCCCACCACGATATTTAGCAAAACAAGCGTTTGGTTTTCTGCGAACGCAACATTAGTGTGAAGGTTGTTGATGATCGCGTCTGAAATAGGAGCAATCGGGGCTGTTTTTCCGACGAAGAGGCGGGGGGGGGCGGGGTATTATTGCCTTCTAACGCGAATTCCCATTCGAACCTATTCAGAAAGTTTACTTCTCGGGTTGAAGGTTTTACAAGATGGCTGTGGGCTTGCTCAGTTCACAGATCAGCAGGTTTCACCAGAGTGAGACTTGTAAACCAGAAATAGGAAACAACGGAATTGGCATGCCTCGGGTCGTCGCAACTACCGCTTCAATCTATCACTACCTCTCACAGAAAGCAAAAGGCTGAAAGACACACTTGCCATGCTTTCATCTTGCATTTTGACAGTTTCGTCATGCAAAGTGAAATCTTGAGTGGGGGTTCCAAGACGACCGATCTGGAAATCATTAACAGAGCGTCAAAAGGTCCACCTTAACTCCACATCAGAACCAAAGCCCCACTGGACGCAGCAGTACCTTTTTCTCTCGAATCTGTATTGGTTTTCCACCGACTCGACCATTAGTAAGGATACGAGCTAGCTCAAGCAAATCGCTTCTTCTGGTGACCAGATCCACTTTGTTAATCACAAGAGACGAAGGTAAGTGTGAGTATCTATGGAGAAGGTGTAAAACGCGGTGTTGGATGTAATCTCCAGTAGCAGTTGCATCCTAAAAGGTACACTTTAACCATACAAAACAACATAATGAAGCAAGGCGCTGCTCGGCTTGGGAAGGGCATTGTGCACTTTCGAGCATTTCTTTTGCTAGTTCTCCGGTAAATGACACGTCACGTCTTGAGGAGACCTGCGGACTCTTGTCAAGTGTAAACGAAGTTCTTGTTATTGCATTGCTTCATAGGAATCTACAGGTCTCCTTAAAAGTCACCGGTAGTGATCGATGGGAACCAGCAAATGCCCTCACCAAGCCACTGTAGCAGCTACCATAAGATGCTAAGTTATGGGCAAAAATCTAGACGCCTGGCGGGACTCGAAGCTGCATCCCACGCTTTCAGGGAGAGTGCACTATACGATGCGCCACCGAGGTGGCTTCCTACCCTCTCATACCCTCTCAGCTCAATGGTTTGTGTGCAGGAGCCTCATAGTTATATCGTAGCAATCAGTCGGGGCAGTGTCAGGAGAGGCGAGATGAGCCCACCACGGCTCCATTTTCTATCAGCAGTGATCGGATAGTTAACGAGTCAGAAAGAAAACAACCAGTGGTTAAAAGGTAGGCCTCATCCAATGTCTTTTTGCACCGCCCCGACTGACGACTGACTCTATCGGAGATTTTGACCACGACTCGGTACCCTTGCGATAACCAGCCATTGAGCGGAAAAGGGGTAAGAGCGACCCCAGGTAGCGTTAGTCAGCGGGAAATGCTGGTTTAATTGCCGTCCGGGTTCTGATTTTTGCCCACAAATCAGTGTCTCTGTGATAACCATAAAAGCGCGAACTACAACATGAAACAACCAACATACCTGAACTACAAGTATATGTTCCGCTTTTTGCAGTGCAGTTTCAGGTTCCATTACAATAATGTCTTGTTTCCTTGCCATAACCTCCCTGGCATGACGAAGACCTACAGTTCCAGGGCTATCTAGGAGGATCAGCTGCACGTCATCTTCCGTCAATACTGCGTCAATATTCTGAAGTATACAGATTTAGTAGACATCTATGAACTCAATTTCAAAAAGACGTAAGCTTACACGTCTAGCCTCACTAGTGATACACAATGGTCTGCCGAGCGTTACCGTTAACCTATTTGGGAGGGGAGAAGAAGGAGCTCCACAGCTAGTGTTCCTTCCCCTAAGCAAAGGTTTGGCTTAGGGAACAGACGAACAGAGTACTCTGAAGAGTACAGCCTGCTTTATATGGCTCGCGGTGACACTAAAAGTCTGAACCCTAGGTCTAAAAAAGCGTTCTTCTTCGTCACATGTCGCGCGTCGACGCGCTACATGGCACTAATATTGCAAGAGTGTTCCAATGTTAGGCTGCGTTCACACTTTGCGTCAGCGTTTCGAGCTACGCCAGTGCCTATCACTAGGAAAATACAGGTCGATCTAGCGTTACGCCAGCGTTTTCGCGGGCTGTTTGGCTTGTTGTGGTAGACCGCTCAATGTTTATAAGTTCACTGTCCTAAGTGATAATCTGAGCGGTTGTTTACATTCATTGTGTTATGCAGTGATAGGTCATCTTGGGTCTATAAAAGACCCTCTGTGCGGTGTGTTGTCAATTGTCGTCTCGTGTGCTAATAAAGCACTCTCGTCCGAAGTCGTAACAGGCTCGAAGCTCAAATTGCCCGCGGAAACGCTACTGTACGCTGGCATAAGCTAGATCGATACCTAAACGTTCCTAGTGCGCTATCGGACGCTCGAAACGCATGCAAAGTATGAACGCAGCCCCATACGAAAGACATGTATCGATCGGCGTCTGTGGCTAACAATAAGTTATGATGCTTTTCTAACGCCTAAGACAACGTTCAGACTTCGCGATCCAGTTCGCGCGATCGCGGAGTCTGAGCGCGCTCTAAGATTGCTGTACCTGGGTTGTGGTGTCCATTTTGCTGCTCACAGAAGACACGGAGGCTCGAACAAGCTGATTTGTAAGCAGCGACTTTCCCACATTTGGAGCTCCAATGACGGCGACATCGAGGCCACGCTGAATACATTGGGAAGAATTCGTTGTTTTACCTCGTGGTTGAAAAATAGTTAAACCAACTGTTGTTGACGAGTAACGTCGCAGTGGAGAACTGTGCCAGACTGTACTTCCAGGACCGCAACAGCGCCAAATGTACCTCACAACTTCTCGCCTCATCTATAATATACCAGTATCACAATAAGATCAAAGGAAATTATGGAAATTTCATAAAGATTATTGAATCGCCCATTTCTGGTGTGAGTTTGAGAAGGAAGAAAAACTGTACAAACAATAGACTGAAAGTCATATTAATCTTGAGACAGTCCAAGAGTAATTTGATGTAATTTACTGTGTTATTAGGGTTCTGTTTCGAGATGAAGAAAAATAAAGTCAAAAAGGCTCAAAGTAAAGGACTGAGATTTCGAAGTTCTGCTTTCCAACAGACCGAAAACGACCGTGCGAATACAATTCTAGCATCCTACAAGTATCCTCCAAAAAACCAAGTGGAAAGAGATTACACGGATTAAAAAATAAATACCATAAAATTAAAGAGGCATGTCGTTCGTGAAACTACGCACACTGTACGTAATTCTCAGTACATTTGATTCGACGGCAACTCAAGTTTTATGCGGCCCAGCCCGTAGCAGGGCACATTGTTTGGTTGGGCGCGAATCCCCAGCAGGGGCGTTCGTATTTGGCCCCAGGAGAGGGGGCGACGGTCGTATGGTTGCGTAGCCAGTTAAAGAGCAAGCGCGAAGTGTGTTCAATGCGCTGATGTCCCTGTACAGCGAAAACTTGCAGAGAACTCGGGATTATAGTAAACCAAATAAGTTACAAAATTCCATTTCATCAAAATAATCCGAAATAACGGGAAAGAAATATTAATATTTCGACATGCAATCTCGTAAGTGTATTCTAAACAGTTAGAATTCATTACTCTGCTCGCTGCGATGATTGTATGTGGGCTGTTCCGCGGATCGCGCTGAGCGGTGACCCAACATTTTTTCGACACATGACTAAGACTGTGACCATTATTCGTTCGTATTCAGATCGTTTCCAGCAGTTTGGTTCTCCTTTATCGGGAATCAGGCAATTGGCGGGAGCACGAATCTGGCGGCGTCGACAGGGACACGCTCCATCATACGCAACGGAAAACACTGTAAACAAGTGCACAGGTTCGCCATGGACCTCCCTGAACCCTTATAGACACATTTGCACTCACAAATTGCACCATCCCATCACCATCTGCGCGGATTCTTAGTTGCGCGCAGCGCAATATCCAATGTTAGCCATGAAGTTGGCTGCTAAACAAACCACATCCTGCCCTGCTCCACCACAGGATACGTTCTACATGTATTTCTGGTTATTCGAACACGCTCGCTTGAAACCGTACACAGAAAACGGACTTTCGAACAGTTCGGAGTGTTCCCCAAAGAATCCCCAACGCAATTATCTCATGAATCCCGGAAACTTCAGAAACGTTTAAGTAGTTTTGGAAAGAGAAAGTCTTCTAGAGTTCAACGCTGGTTTCAGATTTCCAAACTATTGAGGTTCAAGGGAAATATCTTGGTTCAAACCTGTACAATTCGCACTGCAAACTATCCAAAAAAGCACTCCCCAATAAATCCCCAACGCTGAATTTCTCTATGAATTTGGCGACCTTCATAAACATTTCAGTACTTTTAGGAAGCTCAAACCTTCCTCTACACGACTGCGGTCTCCTCTTTCCCACAGGTCCGCTTTTGAGGAAGTTATGGCCCTTCAAAGACACCCTACTTTCCTGAAAACTCGCGCTCCAATCAAACCACCTTGCAACCACCTTGCACCGCTGGTCCTGCCCAGAATCCCTCCCCCGATCCCTCGGCCTTTAATCAGCTGATTTCGGCTGGCTTGCTATCGTTCGGCTAACCAAAATGACCAGGAAGTAATCTCCCTTCGTGAATACTCATGGTACCAGTTAACCGATAGGTGGAATGGCATGCTTGCTGATCGGAAATCAAATTTGCTACTTTTCAGTTGCATTCCGTTTGTTACTTTGAAAGTAGGAATCTAGCAAGCTGCTGTCAAAAGTCGTTTCCAGAAGTTTTGCTCACTTACACTCCTTATCCCTGAGCCAGGGTAGGCGTGGCATTTGAACATGGCACGGAACTGGTTACTCGTGTAATATTCCAGTCTATGACAACTGTCATCTTGTTCTGTGTTGGACAAGACACGAAAACAATTTTGTCAGGATGAAAATATCTTACCAGAGGCGTAGACTCCTTCAGGTTAAGTTCAAGGATGTTCCAGTCAGCTCACGAGACTGTCATTCTTGTTGTGTTTGACACCCACGAAAACAATTTTGTTAGGGACCGAAAATATCTACAGATCAAGACTCCTCAGGTAATTCAAGGATTAAGCCACGTCTACATCTCAGACCAGCCAAGGTATTTCGAGTATAAAACGGTGCACCGGGTGGCAGCTTTAGGTTTTACATAGGTTCTGATCGGTCCTTGTGAATGATTCGCATCCTCCTAACCCCCCGTTATCCTATAAAGGTCCCAATACAGTCCAATCATCTCATTGTGGTGACTTCTAAAACTGTTTTAGTGAAATCTGCTTTCGCATATAAATCATTTAGGCTGACCGTGCCTCAAAAGAGACCAGTAATTAGTCAAAAGAATTAGCAGTGTCAGGTGCGTGACAACCATAAGAGTTGACTAACTCCAAGCAATTTTTCCTTCGTACCCTATGAAAGACAGTTTATGGGCTGGTGTTTGGTTCATTGGAGCTTCTTCTTAGAACAAGGTGTTGAGCTCTTGGAGCTTTCCATCTTTGAAGTTTTCTCATGCCCTTTTGCAATATTTGTTCAGCAAGCTCTGAAATCCAAAGCATTTCATCTCAGCATTTGCAGCGCTGCAGTCTCTAGTCCAGGTTAGCTATGCGCTAGGCGTCTCCGAAAGCAAGAAATCTCCACTGACTTTTGAAGCTATCAATGGTAATACGTTCCATGGTATGTTGACTTGGAAAAGCGCTGCCTGTTTTGTCTGTATGTCATGTGATATCAGCTTGTGTTACAAAAACCCTCGTAGTGTACATATTTCTGTGGAGGAGAAAACCAAACCGTAAAAAGAGGGAGGGGGTCGTACCGAACCCCCAAAAAGGGGCGGCGGTCGTACGGGCTCGACCAAAATCCCCGGGTAGGTAGACCTTATTAAGCCGAGGCACGTCGCGCTAACTGCGGTTGGCCCCAGTTAGAGAAGTTATTGAGCTATCCAAATCGCACGAAATCCATTCGAAAATATCCCGTAGTGGGATAAAGAAGGTTGCATAATATTCCAGCTATCTTATTGCTTTATATTGTTATTGATTATTTTATTATATTATTTTATTATTATCGAAATTCAAACAAGAACAGTGTGTCAAAACGAAAAAAAATGTACATAATAATTTTGTTTGTAACAAACTGGGACATCTATCTGCAGTAGGACTCTGTTTGGGCACTTGATACTCCCTGCTGATAAAGCTCATTGAATCTGAAATAATAATAGTCTCGTTAAGAGATAAACGAAGAAAGTGATTTGAGAGGGTCCTACTGCGCCATTTCGTCAGATATTTTCTCTTTCCTCTCCATGTACTCTTTTCGTAATGTCCTAGCGTTCGTTGTCGTTCGCACATGATTATAATTATAGGCTCGAGAGGGTCCCTACACCTGAAACTAACCCCCAACTGGCAGGCAGTGAGATTTCGGCGATACTGCAAGAGATGCACTTAGTAACGTATGTCTCAACGTAGACCTTCTAAAGGCTTTTTCGTCATTAATTCTTGAGATGTCAACATTTCGAATTAGTTGGTTATTGTTTTAGTTAAAGGCTAGCGACCATTATTTTATACCATTCCATTCATTTGACAGGTAGGGCTACCTTATCGTACTACTTTTTCGTAAGCCTTCACCTTAATCTTTTTTTCTTTTTCGTAAGCCTTAACGCTTGGCTTGGATTTCACTCAATTCTCGTGCCGATTTCTGTAGCTCATCCGCGTGCCTCGCCTGAACGTGCTCTCGGCTTGAAGCAGTTGTCCACGATGGTTCCTTCTTAGCACAATGCTAGCAGGGCCGTAAACATAGTCGGAAAATTACGAAAGAACGGAATGAAACAGTCAAATCCACGAAGACAAAGCTCGTTTCAGTGGCTTTAAATCGAATTTCGGACGAGAGTTTCCTACTGCATCCTGCTAACACCCGATAACCGAAGGTACGGCTGTCATTATGTGTGTACTCCATATTGATGCAGCAACCACCGCTTTCATACCAATCCCTTTGCTTCATAATTTGCTCAGCAAATGAATGAATACGAGCGTCAGAAACGGTCGTCCGTTTGTGGGCGGGCGGGCAAGGAAGGCGTTTGGGACGTAAAGTTGTTGCTCAATAGGGCGTTATAGAGGTATCCTCCTTGGAAAAGGCTTCACGCAGCACCTGTCGAGATCACGCGAATTCTGTCAAGGCCAGTTGTACAAATCCACACCTGTATAACATTTAATCCGTGCCAACTGGCCTTCAATAGGTCGCTTCGCACCTCGCTTTTATGCGCTCGAAATGACGACAAGTCATTAACGAGGTCGAGCGTACCAATTTCTACTGACCCAAATCCCCAAACAATGAGTGCTCTGCTTCCTTCCACGGTCGTCTTTGCTGATTTCAAGCACTCATTTTTTGACATCGACAGGCGGCTTCATGGACATTTGTTCATGAAGACTTTCTCTAAAGTCTCTCCTGGTACGACTATCTTGACTTCCTTCACTAAACGCCTCACATTTCCTCCCTAGTTGTTTTTTTTTCGTTTCATCTCATATTTCACGGCTTTCCGCGTGAAGATTTCTCAGCATTCATCCAGTCTATCTGCCGACTAGCCATTTTGAAGTCCGTTGCCGACTATGTTCAACATTGATACCCACTCAGTTGGGGTTACACCCGCCGTGCTTGTCTACAACATTTCCCAACTGCATAACTTGGTCGCGAAGAGGATTATGTGAAGTAGTGGTGATGGAAGTAACTCTGGTATACCCTTCGAAGGAGGATGGTGGGGTGGGGGTGGGGTGGGGTGCATTTGGAGGGCTCACTGTGCAAATATAATGGTTCTGCCGTACTAGGGATGGAGACTCTTACCTAAATCCGAAGGGGGAAGGAGCTCCAAGGTGGA